ATTTCTTCCCAAAGAGCTAAACCTACTGGCCATTAGTGAATATTATCCATGAAAAAGGCACTGTTCCAGTTGAGATAGTTCTAGGGCAAATGTCAGAAAACACATAAATTTCTAATAGGAACCCTAAGGAATTATTCAAAAAATACAAACAAAATACTCAAAATTAATGAACCTACTTTTAGAGTCCAGAGCATAATTTGATTTTATATGATTCTTAAAGTGACTTAAATAAGGGAGCTGTTATTCCATCATTCTACATGAGGTGACCAAGGCTCAACTTGTCAATTACCTCATTGTATTTTACTAACTCTATATTGCAATACAGGAGGACTCATGTTAAGATATGAAATTTTTTGAGACAAGATTAAAAAAAAAAAAAAAACACATCCAGAGGTGGTACTATGGTCTGGAGTAACACTTTGTGTCTTACCCATGTATCTGTTGCCTCACTCAGGAGTCTTAAAACCCTAGAAGCAATCATTTCACTTAACTTTCAATGTTCCTCCCCTGGCCCATGCCAAAGGTAAACAATTCATCATGCTATTTATATTATCGTCCCCTCATTGCAAGGTCCATTGGCAATGTAGCTTTGCAAGTGTGTAGTCCTTTTTTCTTCAGACCCAGTACTTATAATTAGCACTTGTCCTTTCATCTGGGTCATGCCTTCTCAATTCTCAAGTTTTGTAAAGGAATGGATGAATAAGTCGCTCCAGTTAGCATTTGCAAGAAGCCCTGCAGTCTCCAATAATTTTAGGGAATCCAATGTCCCCCATTCATGGAATAAGAATTAATGAACCTGTCTTAAATTTGCATTTTAAACATATTGAAATAAATATCTTAAAAGTCTCTGTATCAATTGCATACTCAGAGCAGTTATGTGTTTCTATGAGCATATCCCTGTTCTTACAAAAGTGCATTGCGGCAAAGCATGCTCTTTTAACAGTCAGTCTCCCCCAAACAGTCCACAGAGTGACTGGCAGGCAGAATTGCACAGTTAGTAAGCAAACTTGATGTGATTGGGTAGAGCCCAATGGAATGAGCAGGACTCTGAACAACAGCATTTTTACTCTGAAAGCAAAAAGCCTCAGATGACTTCTCTTTCCTGTCAAATTCTGGATGTTTTGGTGATTTTCTTGTTTTCATTTGGTCATGAATTTTGTACTTTTCTCATATACACTGAATGTGAAATAGCCTAGTGTATTTCTTTGGGGATCCAGGATTTTTCTAGGTGATACCAAGGGATAGATGTAATTCAGTGACATTTTGTCAGGCTGTTAAAGAATAAATTTTCCTTGACTGTAGCAGAAGGTAATTATTTTTTGTTTATTTGTTTGTTTCTGACACAGGGGAAAAATTGGGGGGGGGGGTTGTTATTTCAACTATTCCAAGACAATTTTTGTTCCATCTGAAGGAAGGGAAAATTGATTTTATTGGAAGAACTGCTGGTCCTTGATTTTCCCTGCAGACTTGATTCAATTCTGAACACTGAACATTCTTGTGATTCCAGTCCCTTATCAATTCTGCTCCATGTCTGAGGATATCCTTGGGGTACATCTTCAGCCCTGAGCCCTCCTAGCATTTTTTCTGTAGTATCTGCAGCACAGTACCATTATTCAACAGCTTCTTTGGAAGATCTTCCACAAAGCAAACCTCTCAATAGATGGGATTCCCACTCCAGTGGGGGGAGCCAAGAGAATGGACATCTAAGCAAATAATTACAATGAGAAAAACACTTTATATTGCCTTTGTATGTAAGACACTTATTTATGCACAAGGCTCTACAAAACAGGCTCTTTGAATATATTTTGGTAGCTTAGCTCCATGCTTTAAACATCTCAGTACTTGATTAAAATGCATAAAAAGAAGAATGTACTTAACAATTAGGTGCTGATTGGACCCTTTTTTAAAACCGTTAACTACATTCTCAGCTGCTGCCGCCACATTACTGGAATTTCTCCCAGGTAAATGGTGAGAATCAAGACTTCTGTTCAGGGACTGCGCTATGCCTGGTGCCTAGCTGGCACCTGTCCCCATCTTCTGCTTCTGGCTGTCAGTGGCTCCCCCAGGGGAAAAGTCATCTCTACAACCAGCCTGGACCCACACCCCTCACATAAACCCCATGCTTCTTAACAAGGCCTTTGGGATCACTTATTGGAGAAAGAAAATCGTTAACCTACATTGTTCTCAACCAAAGGTTAATTTGAAAATTGTCTGAAATATAAGCATTTATCTATTAATTAAAAGAAAAGTCCAGTGGGTAAGAATTTATGGGCTTCACTACTGAGGAGCTAGCATAATTATAAAAATAATAATAAAAGAAGATTCTAAATTTTTATTACATATTGACATGGCACACTTCTGTGCATTTACATTTCCTCCATGTTTCTTGAAAGCAGGCATCATTATTCCCATTTTAAATGAGCCAACTGAGACTGGCTTGGTTCCTTCATGAATCTTGTCAGCCCAGGAAGAATTCATTCCTACAAGAAGTTTAAGTTCCAGTGTTAGGGCCGGCGCTGTGATGCAGTGGGTTAACACACTGGCCTTAAGTGCCGGCATCCCTTAAAGGCGCCGGTTCAAGTCCCGGCTGTTCCACTTCCGATCCAGCTCTCTGCTATGGCCTGGGAAAGCAGTGGAAGATGGCCCAAGTCTTTGGGCCCCTTCACCTGCGTGGGAGACCTGGAAGAAGCTCCTGGCTCCTGGCTTCAGGTAGGTACAGCTCCGGCTGTTGCGGCCAGTTGGGGAGTGAACCATCGGATGGAAGACCTCTCTCTCTCTCTCTCTCTCTGCCTCTCCTCTCTCTGTGTAACTCTAATTTCAAATTAATAAAAAAAAAAAAGCCCAGTGTTAAGAAGACTTTTGGTGTCACTACCACCATGGCTACCATGTTTCCAAACCATGTCTGAAGCTGGCTGTGGATATATGGTTTAGGTTTAAACTGTGAAATTCTCTAAATATTTATTTAGGACATGGCTGCCAACAACAAATAGTTTTTAGTTGTTTGAGCCCTGTCCACTCCCAAATAGCAACGTGTTCAGCAGAAATTTAGCACTTGTTTTTCAGAGATGGATATGGCTTTTACGGACCCTATTTTTTCACATTTTTTTTTTGCAGTTCACTTCAGAATCATTAGTTAAAAAATGAAAAAAAAAGTTAAAAAAATTTTTAAAGGGAGCTATGATGCTCAAGTGTATTAGCCAAAAGTGAACAGGGTGGAAAACAAATGTTGAAAATTAAATTTCTTCTCGAATTTTGGAAGTTAATATGGCATCATAGGTTTGCTGTGTATAGATCAACTTTACAGAATGTTTCATTTTTATAGCTACACTTTCAACTCAAAAATTTTTCAGCTGGTTATTCAGTATCCAGAATAAATGCATTGCACCATATGAAGAATATATTTAAATGAAAAGGATATTGCCACCTTTAATGAAATACCACATAAAAAGATTAATCAAAAGGATACCTTTTAACATAAGGCCTAAGGGGGCATGAGGAAAGAAATCAGATTCCTTATTTTAGAAAAAATTATTTTCTGCTTGAATATGACCCTGGAATATCTCTTTTGACATATAATATTTAGTAATGCAAATGAATAATGGAAAAGGCAATTCTGTGTGAGCAGTCCATGCCCATGTCCAGCACCAATGCATCAACACGAAACAAAGGGTCTGAGACTTATTCAGACCCCTTTCGTTAGTTCAGGTTGGAGTTCCATAGGAGATAATCTCTCCAGAGCTGACATTCTTCAAAAAACTAAGGCTCCTTGCTCTATTTCCATAACCTAATCAACGCCCTCTGACCCCTGCTCTTGGTGCTGCACCCAGGATCATTCTGCCCTTACTGCTTCCTCTCCGTCACTGTCCACTCCAGAAATCTCTTGGATGGTCAACCACACTCCACTATGTGCATCAGAGATATTTCATAGGGCCTCTCCAATTTCGCTTCTTACCTAAAGCTTGATTCTCACTTAAAATAGGGTCCTTGGTTGCTTTTACATGTACACACGCATCACATACCAAATGAACACATCAATGATCCCTAGTCTTGCAAATTCTAAAAAAGGGAGGAACTAGATCAAAAACCTAGGAGCTGTCTTTGTAGTCAGCAAATTAAGCCACTGCTTCTGATACCGGCATCCCGTATCTAAGTGCAGGTTCCAGTCCTGGTTGCTCTACTTCTGATCCAGCTCTCTGCTAATGCTCCTGGGAAAGCAACAGAAGATGGTCCAAGTGTTTGGGACCATGCCACCTATGTGGGAGACTTGGATGGAGTTCCTGGCTCCTGGCTTTGGCCTGGCCCAGACTTGGCCATTGAACCATTTGAGAGTTGAACCAACACATGGAAGAACTCTCTCTGTGTCTTTATCACTCTGCCTTTCAAATAAATAAAATAAATCTTTAAAAAGGGAATCTATAATATGTCCTTGATAAATGCGAATGACATTTCCAGTCTGCACAATGCTTTGCACGTAACAGGTTTCAGCAGACATTTATTGTGTGCATTAAGAATGCATGCATGGGGGCCGGCGCTGTGGCACAGCAGGTTAAAGCCCTGGACTGAAGCACCGGAATCCCATATGGGCACCCGTTCTAGTCCTGGCTGCTCCTCTTCTGATCCAGCTCTCTGTTATGGCTTGAGAAAGCAGTGGAAGATGGCCCAAGTCCTTGGGCTCCTGCACCCACATGGGAGAACTGGAGGAAGCTCCTGGCTCCTGGCTTCAGATCAGCACAGCTCTGGCCATTGCGGCCATTTGGGGAGTGAACCAGTGGATGGAAGACCTCTCTCTCTGTCTCTACCTCTCTCTGTAACTCTGTCTTTCAAATAAATAAAATAAATATTTAAAAAAATGCATGCATGAATGAAATCTTTTCTGTTTACTGCACAAAGTTAATCATTTCAAGTTACACAGGTAGAGATGAAAGGTAGATAGCTAGGGAGAGCAAAGAAACTAAATAAAAGAAAGTCATGTGTGCACACAACACAAAGGATCAGCTTACCACGTAAAGGCTTTCATGGAAATACAGCCCCACATCATAGAAGTTTCCACCATGCCTTACTGGACGTGTTCTCGTCTTCAGCTGCTCTGTTTGCCACCAAGGCAAGACACAGCCCCCTGGTCGACCAAGCAAGGATGCTCTAAGGAGGTAAAAGCCTTGGGGAGCCTTGTTCTTGAGGCCCCTGATGCATTTGATCCTTATTTGGAGAGGCTGTGGCGGCTGAGACTGCTCAACCTATGTAAAAGGCAGAGTTCTTGAATTATGCAGGAACTGGGCAAAACCACACAATTAGCAACAATGGGTCTCTCAGAGGGGAAAAAATGCAGATAATTATTTTTACTTAACCTGTAATTGTCAGGTATTAGCAATGATTAGCAATGATAACAGACAAGGACACGGGACTTACAATTAAGGGGTCAAAAGGCAAACCTACCGATGATGGAAGGGAAAGTTTAGCCAATTTTTAAACATGGTATGTTAATGATCTGTGACATCAGAAACCATTCATCTCTTATAATAAGATAGAATTAGCAGGAAACCAACATTTGTAAAAACCACACAGCATGACTTCTAAGATATAGGGGTTGGGTGAACATGGTAGTAAGCTTCAGACTGGGAGTTTGAAAGCAGACAGCCATGACCTACCACACTGATCATGGACCCTAATGTCATGCTGACAAGAGCAGACTAACAATCCACACTAACTCGCCATTGAATGGACTATCTCCCTACTTTCAACATATCAACTTACTCCCTAGGCTTCCAATGAGAGTCAAAATATAAGGGAGGGAGGGAAACACTTGTGTAGGCTTTACCCTAAAACTTAGCACAAATTGCTTCATACTGAAAGACATGATTGAAGAATATTTAAGAGGACGTTTGAATTCCCTTCTCCATATAAAGATAAGAGTAGACCATTTTCATTCTTAGTAGGTGCTGACAAGTTATTGCAAACTGATAAGATTTTAACGGACTATTGTTTCAGATTAAACAAGATTTATTGATAACTCAAATGTCAGTTATGTTTCTATACTCACAAGTTCCTAATAGTTTTCAGAATAATTTGACCTTGAACAATCTTCTGTTACATTTTGCTTTAAGGCAAAATAATGTTATTGGGCTGGATGTATGGCCTAGTAGTGAAGATACTGGTTAAGACTCCCAAATTCTACATCGGAACACCTGGGTTCTCTACTTGGCTCTGACTCCAGACTCCACCTTCCTGCCAAGGCAGACCCTGGGAAGCAGCACTGATGATTCAAGGATTGGGTTCCTGCCAATCACACAGGAGACCTGCACTGAGTTCCTAGTGCCAGGTTCCAGGAGTTTTTATCCCCAGCTGGTACAGGCATTTGGCGAGTGAACCAATGAATGGGAGTACTTTTGTATCACTCTGTCTACTTTTGTGCATGTGTGTGTGTGTGTTTGCATGTGTCCCTCTTTGTCTCTGCCTCTCAAATAAATATATATTTTTATGTTTTTAAAGATACATTTTATTTATTTGAAAGATAGAGTTACAGAAAGAGGTAGAGACAGACAGAGATGGAGAGGGCTTCCATCCACTGGTTCACTCCACAAACGGCCACAATGGCTAGAACTGAGAGGATCCAAAGCCAAGAGCCAGAAGACTCCCCCAAGTCTCCCACGTGGGTGCAGGGATCCAAGCACTTGGGCCATCCTCCACTGCTTTGCCAGGCCATTAGCAGGGAGCTTGATCAGAAGTGGAGCAGCCAGGACTCAAACCAGTGCCCATATAGGATGCCAGCAATGCAGGCTGGGGCTTTAACCTGCTGCGCCACAGTCCCAGCACCCTCAAATATTTTTTAAAATGTCATCTTTGTAGACAAGTTATTCCCTTGGATATCTGAAGTAGTAGTACCACCAGTTAATACGTAGCCAACAATAAGCATATTTTAATCCTGCCTAGACTTTACTTTGTGGGAGAAAATATATATTTCCATGTAGATTGTGTGCTTCTGGAATTAAGTCACAGTTAAATAAACAGTGAAAGTTGTTCCAATTCTTTTGTTTTTTTTTTTTTTTCACACAAGTCATACTTAAAAGCTAATTGGAATAACAATTATTTTTGGTTTAATTAGAAAACCTTAATTAACAATAAAGACTTAACCTTAATATTTTGGTTTCCAAAAATATTTTAAAAATTAACACCATGTGAATAAATAAGACAATCTTTTTAAACCTCAAGGCAGGATTACTGATGCAGACAGACAGAGTTATTAAACACATTCTAAATTAAACGCCTCTATGAATTTTATACTGAAATATATTGTGATAGTTTTGCATGCCAAATGTGACATTTTGTGTTTTAGATTCATCTTCTGTAGTAATTTTGGAAATGTCATACAAACAAAGATTTTGTCATTTACCAATGGAATTACTATGCATGGCCGCTTAGCCATCTCTTTGCTGGCTCCTGAGCTTGTTTCAAGTCAGCAAGCCATAAAAAATCTTTATCTCTCTGAAACACAGCAATTTGGAAGATAATCGAATGGTGACTAGGGGGCAGAAATGCCAGTCTGAGGAATTATACCACAATCTCTCTTGCATTTACAACCTTCCTCAAAGCGAGTGTCAGACGAGTAGGAGAAAGAGATAGAAGATTCATCAAATCTCAAGGCTTGTCTCATTTGCATGGTGGCAGGCCTGCTTCATTGTCTAGCAGAGACTGGTTTGGTCCCACTGCTACCCCATTTTAAGAAATTCCAGTGGCTTCACTGTTGAGAGTATTTAGCCATTCTATTTTGACATAGAATTTTCACCAAAAATGTTTATGAAGACCTATCAAAACTCTGTGTCTCTAGTCTTACAGGAGAAAAACTTAACAGGCAACTGAGTCAACACCGTTGATCTAATCATTTAACATTTGGCCTCGGAAGAAAAGTGAATAGCAAGAGCCTCACCTTCCAGCAGGGTCCTGATGCTCCCTTGGAATCATCCGTTACAACTGTAAGGCCACCAAGCTTGGGGACTCTGTCCTTTTTACAAACAGTCGGACTTGTAACGTATGGTTGACTTGGAGTTCTGCAGTAGGTATAAGAAAGAGGGAAGAAAAAAGAAAGAGAAATTGACAATGGAGTATAAAGGAAAGGTTTACCTTTGTAATCACAGCACAATTTGACATTTTCCTGAAACATTTTGCTAGAGTACATAAGAATTAGACAAACAATACATTGTAGAAATTGCTTTTCATGAGTGGTTTTGAAAGCATGGCCCCATCAAATATAAAATTCACCATATTAGCTACTGAACACCCAGTAATTAAAACCTCACTTATTTCAGAAATCACCAGTAGATCAAGTAGTTGTATGTTAGTATCGGTGGGGATTTGTTCCAGGACATCCTACATCCCCAAAGAAACCAAAATGCAGCCGCATTCGAGCCCTTTATACAAAGTGGCTTAGGTTGTGTTATAACCTAACTCACATCCACTTATACTCTCTCAGTCATCTCTAGCTTACTTATTATACCTCTTCTGATGTAAATACTCTGTAAATCGTAGGTTTTTGGTTTTTTTTGGTTTTTTTTTTTTTTTTTTTACAGGCAGAGTGCACAGTGAGAGAGAGAGACAGAGAGAAAGGTCTTCCTTTGCCATTGGTTCACCCTCCAATGGCTGCTGTGGCCGGCGCGCACCACACTGATCTGAAGCCAGGAGCCAGGTGCTTCTCCTGGTCTCCCATGGGGTGCAGGGCCCAAGGACTTGGGCCATCCTCCACTGCACTCCCTGGCCACAGCAGAGAGCTGGACAGTTTGTAAACTCTTTGTTTCAGGAATCAGGACAATATATACACTCTGTACATGATCAGTGGAGACCATGAAGATAGGCCTAACTGTTTTCCATTGTGGCTGTCCTGGACCTGTGGCTTCAGTACTCAGAGACGCAGAAAATGAACACAGTATTCCATAAGACTTTCTGCCACTTCATTTCCTATCCCTTTTGCCTTTGATCTTATAAATAGGTAGGGACACATGGAGGAAAAATCATTTAAATAGATGAATTGCTGACTCGACATAAGCTTTTTGTGTTTTAGTGCAATGGCCAGAGATCAATATCTGTTTCTACCCTCACCATGTTCCCTAGGCTCTTTCCTTCCTATTAACATTTACTCACTTCATTCATGGTTATTGTTGACTCCTTTATTTTTATTTTCATTTTAAGCCCTCAAACCCTGACAGTTGCTGCCTGATTTCTCAAATTCATCTGGATTAAGAAGGGTCTTCTATCTCCCTTCTCCTAACTTAAGCTGAATTCCATCAGCAGGGCCCTCTGTGACAATGACTTACCCTCTCCAGAACAGCCTTTCAGGGTCTCGCTGTTGATTTAGTTTCCTGTGATACAAATGATTTTCCTTAATTTGGTTGGAGCTACATTGACATAAAGGTTCATTAGGACACCCATTTGCTGGCAATTCAATCTCAAATTAAATACACTTTGTTGTAAATGTTATTACTTTTAAACTACTGTATCTATTGTCTTTAATGGCCCTATTATACAGTTATGAAGGTAAACAGATTTCATTAGTAAACATCAAACATTATATGCTACCCACAGGACATGATTTCCTCAGTTTCCTGCTTTGTTCAGTTGGCAAGAATTTTAAGGCTCTCAGAAATATCCTAAAAACATAACCTAAATAATTAGGTACATGATATATAACCTAAATAATCCTAAAAACAAAACCTAAATAATTAGACACTAAATTCAGGATTATAATCCTAAAAGAGAAAAAAAAAAACAAACATGACTCCCAGTTGCAACCCCAATTTTTTTAGTAATTATATGATCTCTAAAAACACTTTCATTAAAGTTAAAGAGCAGCACAGTGACATGAAAACCCTTGAACACAGCTTTAACAGGACACCAGACACCCAGCGATGAATCCGTGCGTTTCTATCTTTTTGGAACAGGCACATCCTATGCCAAGAGCCAGAACCTGACATCAGTCACTTTTGAATTAGATCTTAAACTTGCCATTATTCTTATTTTTCCCCTTAGAGAGTACTTACTAATTCTGTGATTGCACAGACTGAGCATCCCTAGTCTAAAAATCCAAAATAGGAAATTCTACAAAATTTGAAACTTTCTGCGCACCCACATGATGCCATCAGTAGAAAATTCCATATTTGAAATTAAAATGGGTCAAAACACAGGCACACCAAAAGTCTCCATGCTATGTGTATATGGTATAGCAGGGATCTTCAAAAGTTCATGGGAAACTTGAATAATGGATAAAACTAAGTACTAATTTAAAATTTTTGCAACAAAATAAGCTTATCTTAAAGTACTCCCATTTAGGAAAGATAAATTAACTTTGTGTTTAGAATTGGGTGCCATCTCCACGATATTATTTATAAACACATTTTTTTTTTTTTGACAGGCAGAGTGGAGAGTGAGAGAGAAAGACAGAGAGAAAGGTCTTCCTTTGCCATTGGTTCACCCTCCAATGGCCACCACGGCTGTCGCGCTGTGGCCGGCGCACCGCACTGATCCGAAGGCAGGAGCCAGGTGCTTCTCCTGGTCTCCCATGCGGGTGCAGGGCCCAAGCACTTGGGCCATCCTCCATTGCACTCCCTGGCCACAGCAGAGAGCTGGCCTGGAAGAGGGGCAACCAGGACAGAATCCGGTGCCCCGACCGGGACTAGAACCCGGTGTGCCGGCGCCTCTAGGTGGAGGATTAGTCTATTGAGCCGCGGCGCCTGCTTATAAACACATTTTTTAAAACCTGAAAATATCCAAAAAAGAGAATACTTCTGGTCCCAAGAATTTCAGATCATGCATTTCAACTCATTAGCCCATAGTCCATTGGTAAAATATTGGTTTCTACACTTCATACTGTAGTTATTAGATGTATTTTATTGATTACAGAAAGAGACTGATGTGGTAATTATTATTTTGTAACCTAGATTTTCCATTTTGTAGTTTGTGGGTGTTTTTTATGACATTAAGATTTTTTGTGTGCTACAGCATAATTTTTAGGTATTGCCTAGTATTTAATTCTATGGGCCTACCATAATTTATTTAAGTGATCCCTTATTGCTTGATACTTACATTAGTTCCTATTTTCATTATTATAAGCTATCCTATAATTAACTTTCTCACATTTAAAGTCTGGGAAACGTTCCTAGTCATTTTCATAGAAAGTCCTATCATTAGAAACACTGGACATGAGGAGGCCTGCTATTCTACACTTAACTGACCACTACTTTGAGTGTTGAAATGACACCTTCGTAATATATGATACTGTCTGCACAGCCTAGTCCCTCAGACACTGATATGCACAAGAAGACAAGACTCATTCCACTCGGTATCTTTTTGTACTGCTAGTAGGATTCAATGACGATGAGTAAGCAACCTTGCTATACAATAGACTCCTCCAACTCAGCAAGATTAACATTTTAGATCAAATAATTCTTTCCTGTGGGGGCTGCATGGTGTATGGTAGAACACTGGGCAGGATCCCTGGTCTCTGCCCACTACACACCGCTACACCTAGACCCAGCTGAGACTATCGAAAATGTCTATTGCCAGATATTCCCTGCAGGCCAAAGTGAACCTTGTTGGGGACCACTGCTGTTGGGATAACTGGTGTCTACTGAGTGCTCAGCATATTCAAGGGACTCTTTCAAATGTACTGTATTTCTTAACTAATTTCACTCTTTAACTAATTTAACTTTGTGTTTAGAATTGGGTTCCATCCCCAGGATATTATTTATAAGCAAATTTTTGTATTATTAGTATTATTATATTATCTCTGCTTAACTGATGAGAAATGTATTGTTAGTATTATCTCTGCTTAACTGATGAGAAACCAAGGCTGAGGAGCATTGGCTGTGCTGCTCAGGGTCATAGTCAGAAGGATACAGCTGAACATTCGAAGTGAAATCATCCAACTTGAGAACTTCTGGTGATCCTTCCCGGATATCAATGCGCCCTGGAGACGAGGGAGCAGCAATGCCATATCTGAATCTCAGACGTCCTTACACTGGACCAAGGATTAAGATATTTTCTAAGAGATCCCTAAGACATGGCTCCCAGCTATACTATCACGGCTATAATTCCCCCTCTGCAGACATCATATATAAAGAAAAAGGCACAGATATATTCCAGTATGAAATGGGGTCATCGTTCCCAAAATTGTTACCTTAGTGTAAATCAAATTGGGCAGCAGTGGGGATGGGGGGTGTTCATTCACCTATATTTGGCCCATATTTAATTGAGAGCAAAACACACATGCACACACAAATAAGATGCATTCAGTCTATCATCAAGGAACATACTTTCCAAAAGTTCCATCAGTCTTTAACTGTGACGTAGAAATGAGTCCTTCCCCTTCAAATTTCAAATCCTGCATGAAAGAAAATAGAGGTAAGATACAATCGGTGCAAAACACGTTTGCAACATTTATGTAGAAACTGTTTTTTCTAAGACCAAGATATACTGATACAAAAATGTTAAGTTTGTCATAGATAAATAAGACCTGGGGTTTACGCCTTTGGCAGCCATCATATTATGGTGCCCAACTTTCCTCACTTGATTAGCTCCTTGTTGACCAAGAAGGTGGAGTAGAAAGTAAACCATATAACAAAAGGAAGGGGAGAAACACATTGAGAATACCAGTAGGCTTTCTTTGTCTCTTCCAATGTTGCTCTCTTACCCTACCTTCAACCCCACTATAGACAGGCGCAGACATTACACACAACGGTGTGGTTTTAGAACATGGGCATGGAAATAACGCAAGATGTGGAGAATGCTAGTCATATTATTATTTATCATCCAGTCCAGGACAGTAGGAGAATAAAAGAAAACAATAAGAATAAACCAGGGTTATCATATGCAAACTAAGTTATAGGAACTTTGTTAATACTATAAATAATACCCTTGCAAATGTTTTGAAAGGATCCCATACAGGCAAATATCAGCATATTTAGTCAAGGTGAATGGTAGAGAGAGAGCAATAGTGATAAGGAGCTCAAGATGAAAGCTGTAGTTTTTAATGTCTGCTATATGCTTGTGGTCACACAGACAACTCTTCTAATGTACACAGGCACCACACAAATAAAGAGATTTATACAAGGAGCTGGGATCACAGGTCCTTAGTAGTTGTGAATTTCAGACAAGCAAATATTGGATGTTTGATGAAGAACCAAACGTATTCTGAATCTCCTTTTTCATGGAGGTAGCACATCTTTTTAGCGAAGTAGTTTTCTCAGCCTTCTTTCTGCTAGTACATTCTGAAGTTCCGAAGACTCCTCATCATTTTGTTCTCTGTTCCATTCAAGTCAAACAGGTGATTTTCCTGCTTGTACAGAGGGGCTTGAAGAAGTTCATGGGAAAAAACGAAGTAAAAAACGAAGTATAAAAAACAAAAACCTTTAGTTTTCAACATCAGTCCCATCAAGATACTTTTATAAGCAATACCATTAGGTCCATCCTTAAAGAATGGACAGTCCTGGGAATTTAACCAAATCAATGCAGTCTTTTTTACATTATTAACTAAAGAAAATGATGCCTTTAAAGATTATTTTTCAGTGTTAGGAAACAAAAAAAGTCAGAATAAACCAAAGCGGGATTGAAGAATGGATGCCTAATGATTTCCTACAGAAGTGCTCTCAAAATTTGCCTTGTTCAAGGAGAGGAATGAGCAAGAGGTTGTCACGCGGGAGAAGGACTCTCTCATGAAGATTTCTTGGACATGTTTTCTGCTAAAGTTTTGGTTAACTTTATCAGACACCTCTGCTAATAAGCAGATGATATCTCTTGGGTCTTCTGAGAGTATCCGATGGTGGCCATGACCTTTGTTCTTGGTTGTTCATTTTGCATTAACTGGACCACTTCCAACTCTTGGTAGGCACTGCTCTGGTTGTCCCTTGTCTTCAGGATAATGCCGGCAAGACCACCTTTTATCTCCTGTTATAATTCTTAAAAGAAATGGGGCAGGATCTTTGATTCCACTTGTTTGAAATGTTCTTTGAAAACTGTTGTCTGTCTGCAGCTGACTTGGCTGCAACAGTTTTGGCAACCATCAATCAGAAAGATTGCTCCACTTTAATCTTTTATTTGGGATTGTGTAAGATTTTTATGTTGTTGGCTATTGTTTCTGCTATTAATTACCAGTTTTCTTCAAGTAGCACTTTAATAAGATTAACTTTTTCCTCACCAATTGACGTTTGACGTGGATGGTCTGCCACTGAGGTTTCATCTTCAACTTTTCCTTACCCAGTCTTAAAACAAGTTACACTTTTCCAAACTACTGATTTCTTTGGGGCATTGTCACATAAAGCATCAATGATTTCACCATTCTTCTACCCAACATTTACTATAAATCTGATGTTTGTTCTTGCTTCAATTTTATCTGAATTTATGTTGCTTGGGTAGGGACTCTGTTCAAACTAATATCTTATCCCTCTTAATGCTTCAAACTAAACTCTTCAGTCATATTACAACAAATTTGTTGAACTTTATTTTGGTGTGAAATAGTTTTGAAAGTTATATATCACCATTTCATAATACATATTATCTATAAACTTTTTAAGACCCTTTATATAATTCATTTAAAACTTCATAATTTTTCTGTGAATCTTGTTGGTGACCCCGTCACTAGATAAAGAGTCGAATCCACAAGGGTCTTCCAAGTAAGACCATCTCTACGTTGGATTTGCACTGACAGAATGAGGGGCTATCACCGTTATTGTTTTGTTGAGAGTAACTGTGACACACCCGTAATCTTTCTAGTATCTTTTGTCTGAGTGAATAGTATTCTGAGGATCCACTCTTGATTATTCTGATATATTAACAGAAGTTTTGACAGTGACACCTTCTGCTTCATCTTTGAACCATGCTTTTCCGGCACTGGACCTTTTCTAAGAGGCTATTTTTCATTTTAGCATTGTTTGCTGTATTGGGAAACTAAAATTTTCCAAAGCCATCATGTCATCACTTATTTGGTTAGTAGTCCTTCCTATAGTTTATTTTTCACATTTTATAGTAAACAACAAGAAGAAACCAGGTAACATTTAAAACCCTCTGGTTGGGAATCTTCTTAGTTCATTTATCTAGTTCATTATGTACATTGTCTACTTTCCACATAATTGCAGGCAATGGCATGCCTAAACTCTCTGACACTCCATCATGAGACTTTCCCTTCCTCCGTTTTCCAATTGGATTATCCTCACTTTCCTACCAGCCCTTACCCCTTGGTCTCAAAGACCATGAGATCTGTGGTCATATCTTCTTCAAGGTACCTTAAGCCTTCACTAACACTCTCCTCAAAGTATTGTGAGTTTCAATGTCAATCTCATATTTGGGATGGTGTTACAGCAACCTCCACTTTTAAGCCCCCAAATATGTTGTTTACTCAGCCCCTCCCCCATGGGAGATAATTTTCAAGACCACTAGTGGATGTCCAAAATTTAGGATAGTAATGAATACTATATGTTCTAGGTTTTTTTGTTTTTGTTTTTGTTTTTGTTTTAGTTTTTAAGGATTTATTTTATTTATTTGAAAATAAGAGTTACAGAGAAAGTTGAAAGATCAGTGTGACTTCAGTATAGGCACCAGGAGAGAATACTGGGATATGGGGTTGGAACCATTAGCACAAGCCAGATCTTGCTGGACTCACAGAGGATGATGGTGAATCTACATGCTATGTCCACTTGAGAAGCCAGTGGACTTTTAAGCAAAAAAAGGATATTAGCTGATTTGTGCATGGTCAGAAATGAAACTTTGAAAATATTAAATAGAGGTTTGTTTATTCTCCTCTCCTATAAATCATGTTTCTCAGCAAAATTCAACTACTATTGCCTCATATAATTGGAGAGAGGAAATAGCCCCTCAATACGGAGAACATTAAGAAGAAGGTGTCGCAGTCAGACAGCAAGAGGAATACAGAAGCATTCCCTTGGCTCTTGGTGGATGTTGAGCTGCAGAATGAGGAAAAATAAAGGAATCAGGCATTAAAATGGATATCTGTTATGGTTTCTTCCCCTCCAAAACCGAAATTCTTCGGGATTTGTATAAGGAATGAGAAATTGTTTGATGAGAAATCCAAGAACAGAGAGGCTCTACTGGCTTTCGGTTGAAACCTCTGACAAGAAGCCATGGTGGATAGTTCCCGGGTGGGTGTGATGCTACCAAATTTGAGCTTGACATACATTACATTGTCATTAACCACAGAGAGAGCCCACATTTACTGCCATATAGGAGGGGGGAGGTGTTCCTGAAACACACACATTCTCAAAGTAAGATTATTTGAGGAGGGATATTTATTGACAAAGGTGTAGTACAAAATTATCCATTAGAGACTATATTATAAGGGCTGTTTCCACCTATAGGCTTGAAGAGATAGAGACAGAGTGGGCGCCAGTTCTGGCACCAGACAGACTCACACAGAGGCATCCATCTTGAGTACAACAGTGATGCTAGGTGGAGTGATAAAGTTGTTCCGGGGAGCCTTGATTCCCATAGAGGAGGAATTTTCCTAAAAACTCTCTCTCCCTTCCCTCCTATGACTGACCAAAACACCCCATCAGAAGCCACCTGAAAGTAAAAGGCACAAGAACCATAATGATGGGGCTTCACAATGCAGCTTCCTGTGGCAGACCACAGAGGAGAAGGGTACAGATAGACTCTGGGAGGGAAGCAGAAACACAGTGGACACAATTTCCACAGTCTCACTTAGTTGCAATGGGATCAAAAGCAAACCAGAAACCTCTACCCTTGATGCAGGAGTAAATATATTCAGAACTCATCAATTAGCAAGCTGGTAAACTTACCCAGGAGGAAATGGCACATAGAATATAAGTAGTAGGGTTAGTGTCTTCACTGAGCTATAAAGTTTTGCTGATGTACTAGATGGGAAAAGTCAGGGAAAATAATCAAAGATGAATTTTGGTATCTGGCTGAAGTAAATTGCTGGACTGTGGTGCCACTTACTGAGATGGAAATGACAGGGCAAGTAATGAACAAGGTTTTGAGGAGCAAAATTTAAGCTTTCATGTTGGATGCATTCAATTTGTGAAATGTTTAGAGATTTTCAAATAGCAGTGATAAGAGTGAGATACAAAAGATCAGAGGCTCTGGCTGTAACTATCAGTAAGGTGGAATTAGAAGTTGGGAATTGTGGAAGTCATTCTGTGAGACACCTCTATACAATTTTGTTTGCATTAGATCATTTGTTTCACTGTATAAGTTGTATCATTTAATCTTCACAACAGGCTAGTGATATATGCACTGCAATGCCATATTTATTTCAGAAATGGGTAAATTAAGGCTTAAAGACCTTAAAGCATTTTATCAAGGTTAGTGTACACAGTGGAGCCTGTGATCCCTTGGAAATGAATGGAAAGA